GCCTCTGCCGCCTGCATAGAGGGGGTTCGAGTCCACAGGCTCTCGTGTGCAGCGTGACTGAGGTTCTGTTGATATTTTCTGGTCACAACTCTATCTCCAATCAGTGTTAAGTGAGCTCTCGTGTTCACACTTTACCTGTTAGTCTAATAGTTAGAGTAGCGAGCAGTGCACGCGACTTGTGCTGCATCTATCGTCAACTTACTTCTAAGTACTACTATCACACTTCTCTATTTTTATACTTAATATATGAAATACAATCTAAGTCTGAATATCTCTCTGAAACTGAATCTGGATTTTCTTCCTTCACTTGGATTGCTATTTATAGAAGAGGAGAATGATGTTGGTTATGATGGTGGTTGGTTGGCCAAGAGGTGCTTCAGGTGACTTCTCTTGGGAAGAGTCCCGACCCATGCATGGGAAGACATGTTTTTCTGATGAAAGGATATCAATTACGTCTCCTGGAAACACGACTCGTGCTCGCGAGGTTCAAGGTCATGCTCGCAACTTATGCTTTAAAAGTCTTTGCCTATCAGGAGTGCTTCTCGCGCTCGCGCAGATGAATGTCGCACTCGCGACTTACGTATTGGTGCCTGCTAAGTCTTCTGGTGTGTAGGTTGCGTGCGTGACTTTAGGTAGCACTCGTGACTGTAGCCTTTCTTCTTTCCAACGTGACTGCATTCGCGTCGCGAAGTATGTTAGGCGAATTCTCCATGTTTAGTCAACTTTTTGGTCCTCTTTTTCTATAAAAGCAAGTCTTTTCATTCCTTTGCTCAAATTGCATTCCTGACTTGCGTTTTGGTGCCTGCTGAGTCTTCTGGTGTGTAGGTTGCGCGCACGACTTCAGGTAGCGCTCGCGACTGTAGCCTTTCTTCTTTCCAACGCAAATTTATTTGCGTCGCGAAGTATGCTAGGCGAATTCTCCATGTTTAGTCAACTTTTTGGTCCTCTTTTTCTATAAAAGCAAGTCTTTTCATTCGTTTGCTCCAATTGTATTCCTTTAATCACTCCAATTGCATTCCTTTAATCACTTTAAACAAAAACAACACGAGCAAACGTAAAATGTATAAAAACAACATGCAATCATGCAAATTATATGAGAATAACATAACAAAATTGGCCCGCTTTGCGAGGCTATCAATGCTATATATATAGATTTCATATGTATGATACATTTGATAATTTTCCTATGTTCTAAAGTTTATGAGAAATGGGTGTTTTTAATATATGTGCTTTGAATTGCATAAGGAAAATGTGATTTAATTGATAAGGTTTTATTCATAATAAATCTTAACATGACTTTAAGAAAAGTTTTAAAAGAAATGAGTTTAAGAGAAATTTTTCCCATGATAAGTAATTGTGCCTAAGTATGGAATTTTCATAAATTACTTAAGTTTAAATTAAGTTTCCATTATGATTTCAAGGAGATTAAAGAAAAACAAGTTTTACGAGAAATGTTATGTCTTAAGAAATAAAACAAGGATTTTGGGCTCTAATATACTTGGTGTGAATTTATTGCATGATTTGATTTATTATGTAAGATGAGCATGCTCGGCATATGCTCGGCAATTTTGGTGATGCATTATTGATTAAGAAAGCTATTGATCATGATGCTAGGCACGTGGGCATTGGTGTGAATTTATTGCATGATTTGATTTATTATGTAAGATGAGCATGCTCGGCATTTGATGCCATTATGATAAGAAGCTATGATCATATGCTAGGCACGTGGATGTCTTGTGCTAGGATGGACGCGCTCGATATGTTATGATAAGTTGGCATATAAGGTCATTATGAATAAGCTATGAAATCTTATCTGCTTCTCTTTCTCCTAAGTTTATGCGAGCCCCTTGGTAAATATTTTTAAGGAAATTAAATTAATGAGATTGCATTATTTTAGTAAATCTTAGTTTAGATTAAATTATTTATGTTATTAGTTGTAAGTTTATTTGATATTTCTTATGCTATAAATGTTAATGTATGTTGAAATTTGATGATTCTATGATTGTAAATGATTTTATGAAATTTGTGTTTTAAGTATGTTGTCATTACAACATTGGTATGTTTGTGATTTATGAGGACCATTGAGTTTTATACTCAGTGCGTTGATTTTACTACGCGCAGGTTGGAGACTGTGTTTGCTGCTTAAAGACTTGAAGAGTAGCATCAGAGCTGAAGATATTATTTTGATAGTTGATTTAGTGTTTTACGTAACTAAGAATTATGGCATGTACAAGTATTATATTTTGAGAGACTATATTATTTGATTTTATGACTTAAGCATGTTATTGTAAATTATTTTGGTGTATATATTTTGAGATAAGCATGAAACATATTTTATGATTTGATATTAAATATTTTTAAGATAGTTCGCATGATTAGATCATTAGGACTTGATATATATATTTAATAAATGCATTTAATTGATGAATATTAAAATGCTAATGAAGAATTATATAGTGTAGTTGTGTTGTATTGATAATGTGGAGTAATGAGAGTTCGGAGTTGAATTTGGGAGTCTTTTGGTATTCACATTTTTTGGTGAGTCAAGTTTTTAAGGGAAACTCTTACAGTTTTGCTGTAGGATTTTCCTAAATTATTTTCATAAAATAAATACAAATATTTTAATAACAAAACATAACTTGCTAAAATTGTGAATACTTAACTACTTCTAATTCATAATCCGATTATATATATATATATATATGTAGGTTAGGACGGTGTCTCCGGCACCGAATGTGGCATCCGTCGTCGGGTTCCTTGGGACTAGGTGGTGGGTGTTACAATTGCTCTCCTTCTCGACTGGACCACGTAAGGCGCGGACCTATAGCTGGTAAGTCACAAAGGTTTGCATCATGTAAGGCCTCATTAAACCCATTAATAAAAAAGAAAGATCGTGGAGCACCCCTTTCCTTCTCAGCATCCAATGATATATCGTTATAATCGCCGACACAGAGCCAAGGAAGCTAACTACAAGCAGCCAATGCACGGAGCAAATTCCATGATGCATGATGACGATTACTTTTCGGAAAGCTGTAAAAACCAGTAAACCTCCAACAATAATGCCTGGAGTTAATATGGCAATCCATAAAATTCCTAGAGTACCCAGAAACAGAAAGATTAACTGACTCCTTCATTAATGACAAACCACCTCCAATACCCAAACTATTGACTGAGAAATAGTGATCAAACCGCAACAATGTACATAACGAACACCATGCACTTTTGTTTACATAATAAAAATGACTTCCGACTTATATGTAGACAGAAGTTCTTTCAAGCATGAACTGTTCGAGGATTGTGGGCCCCTTGGCAGTGTCAACTCAAGATTTTTATTGATGTCGACTATCCCCTTGATCGAGAACAGCCGTTAACTTCATACTTGTCGTTGAATCCAACGCAAAAACACTACCTGTCGAATCCTTTTGTAAAGAAAATAAAGCAGCTAATATAGTTTGAGAGACCCTAGGCCTTTTTTTTCAGATCATCTGAACAAAGTAAACCCTCATCTTCACCCAGCCTAGCACCACCATCCTGGCCCAAATTCACTAAGTCCAAGTCCATGTATCCCACTGCTGAATGAGACTGATTAGAGTCAGTCCCAAATAAGGAAGATCGAAACTTTTTGGGAGGGCAGCAAAGGAATCTCGTTCCTAGACAAACCCTAAATTGACTCTTGATTAGTAGGAAAGTCAACTCCTTCATTGCCATGTAACCAAGAACTTGCCAGCTACGTAAACCTTCTCCTCGAAACTCTATTCCGATCATCCCACTCTGGTATCAATTCCTCCTTCCTCTTTTGAAGACGCAACTTCCAAAAAGAATTTGCATGGCCAAGTCTCCCACATAGATAGCAAAACACAAGAAGCCTTTCATATCAGAACTATGCATAATAAACATTACCCGCCACGTCCGCAATTTTCTTTCGCCTGCGTAATGGTTGATGGATGTCCAGCCGACTGCGAATTCGCATGTAGCGAAGAGGTAAATGTGAAAATTCTTCACGTCATAGTCAAGGACGAACCCAAAAAATACCTAAGGACTTAACTACAGTCTTAGTCATAAATCCCACCGGAAGATCATGAACTTGAACCCAAAAATTCTTATGCAGCAAAGGAATCATCAAAGGATCTTCACCATCCTTAATAGTACTCAGCACCAACAAGTGACGATCAAAAGTTCAGGGAGCACCATTCACCATGCGTTTCAGGTCCACAAAATTATAAAACCTAAATAGGTACCTTTTCGCTCCTAGATCAGAGATATTTACTCTCCTTAGAGGCTGCCATAAGTGAGAAAAGGTCATTCTCATGGAGTTGAAATTTATTGAGTTATATGTTAAAAACATACCCACGAGAGAAAACACATATGAGACACAGGGACAGGGCTAGCCACCAACACTCAGCACATCCTCTTCCGAATCTGCAATGGAGAGGTGGCTAAAGTCTTGCTCCATCATGCACTAAGATCCACGAAAACAATAAACCAAGAAAAGGAAAAGACCATGCTACAAAGAGAGCATACCAACACCAAACTCTTGGCGAAAGTAAATGCCTTCCTTTCTAGTTGCTACTTGAGAAAGAATATAAATAAATAACTATTCGTATTTGATATAAAACCAATTAAGATGAAAAAAAAAAAAAGCTTCCATTAAATAGTAATCTTTTTTTAATGCTAGATAGTCATCATTGATTAGGAGAGAGAATGTTAATTTTTAAATTTAAAATTTATTTCTCTCTCTATTGAAGTTTTATGAGATTCTCATCATTAAATTGAGAGAGAGGAAAATTTTAAGTCAAATTTAGTATCTTTCATCTAACCAATAAAAAATTATTAAGGGCTTATGGATATTTCACCTATCAAATCTCTAATTGAGTCATAAAATATCCATGAAAATAAAAGCTCGAAGCAAAAATAAATATTCCTTAATTTTTAAAAAAATTACAACAAACAATTGAAAAATAATCTGCCGCAACAACCAAATTCCATCTCAATTATTACTCAATGGGAAACCAATCATGCCAACTCATCTGCTCGAAAGTCAATATTGAATATATCACCGAACGAAACGAAACGAAACGAAACAAAGCAAAGCGAAGAGAGCTCATTACTCCTCGCCGGTGATCTCTGAAACGAAGTTTTTTCAATTCTCTGAAACAAAAAGGTCGCCGGAGATCTTCCGTCACCAGATCAACCCCCTCTCTCTTACTTTTAATTGTAATCAGTAATCAGTAATAATGAGTGAAGAAGAAAAAGGACAAAGCAGAGGAGTGGTCGTAGATCACCATCACCACCAAAATCCCCAACCTCAGTACGGTACGTTTCAAGGTGTAGCTAATTATCCTCAACAGCCTGTTATCGGCTTCCCTCAGCCCGTTCCCCCGCCCGGAGCTACTGAGCCCTCTGCCCCTCCTCAGTATTACGCTCACGGCTATCAGACGGTTCCAGGTACTTTTTTGCCTGATTTTTTCTTTTCGACAAATGAATTAGAAGAAGGGATTTTCAAATTAATAATTTTTTCCTTTTCTTTCAGGCTATGCTGTTGCTGATGGAAGACCTGTGAGAGAACATCGCCTTCCTTGCTGTGGTATTGGTTTGGGCTGGTTCTTGTAAGTTCTATCATAAATTCCACTAACCACCACATACTCTCGCAATATTTCCAATTTGAGTTTTGTGTTATCTGTAAAAGTTTTATTTTTCTTTACATTTCTTTAGCCATTGAAATTGCAATATCAAAATCCATCATTTATGGCAATAGTTCATATACAATTTGAAATAAAATGCTTCTAGTAATTACAGGAAAACAGTTTCAAACGAAAGTTGTTATGCCCCTAGATGGAAGAATTATAATGCATTTCTTAATTCGAATATATAGTACCTAATGAAGTGGGATAACCAATTTATATTCCATTGAATTGGAGCCTCTGAAGTGAACCCGTCCTAATTTCTCTGAGCGATGCTTTTTTTTTTTTTTTTTTTTCCGTAATTTCTCTGAGCGATTGCTTTTTTTTTTTTTTTTTTTCTCTTCATTTAACAATGTTTATAAATCACATGGAATTTTTTTTTTTTTTTTTTTTTCTCTTCATTTACATAGTTTTTATAAATCAACATGGAATTGATTTCATTTGCTAATGAATTGCACACACACACACACACACACACAAAAATAAAAAATTCATTTGTAAATTAATTTTCATGTTTGGATCCAATATAGAATTCATTTTAGATATGTAGGTTTACGAGCTTACTCTTAGAATTCATTAGCTTTATTAGCTAGTAGCTTTTAGCCTCATTAAGTTTGATGTTAGTTTGGAATTCTATAACTTTTATAGAATTTGATTCAACTATGACCAATTCCATAGAATTAAAGATTTAGAATTCCAGATGAATTTTTATTTATTTTAAAACCTCAAGTATGGATTTACAAAGAATTAATGAAACGTTTTTGGAACGCATTTACACAAACAATCTCTTATCTATAAGCATATATAAAAGTATTCAAGCCATATGCAAACTGCTAATCTCTGTGTGCAAAACTGAAAACTCATTAATACCATGCCTAGGGCTATTATTGCTGCCGAAAATTGTATTTGAATTCCTTGATTCTGTTGTATGCTCTAAGAACTGCTCTAGAGTATAATTTTTGTTCATGTACATGTAATCAAGCATAGGCTTGGGTCCATTTTTTGGATAAGACACTGTATTTTTATCTTCTAGTCGGTGCCAATTCCAGGTTTCAGCAAAGTAGCTTCTCTCTGTCTTGTCTTTCTACTCTTTAGTGCCCCTTTTCAGGATCTTAAATAACAGAATCTGCAACAGCTTTGCAATTAAAAATTAGATAATGGAATCGCATAGAATTGACCACTGCTATCTAGAATTTCTTTCATAAGTTAGCAAAATGATTTAAATCAACATTAAATGTAGAATTTAACCAAATATCAAAATATGTTGTACATATCTGATAATTTGTGTTAAAATACAATTAAAAGGTAGTTATTAGATAATTTTGTAAATTGATGTAAAAAAATTAACCAATATTTTTTTAATGGCCTAATATTTAAGATATAAAATTTAAAATTATTCTTTTGTTAAAAATTAAAATATGGGTGTTTTCTTATTTATAAGTCAAAATGATACATCGTTGTTTATTGAGTTTAAAAATAAAAAGCCAGACCATTTTGTAATTAGGTTATTGGGTTTAATTAAAAATAGTAAAGGAAGCGAAATTATGTTCTGTCAACTCCATGTCATCTGGCCATTCTTTCCCAATGTATTTCTCAAAGTTTAAAATAAAAAGAAGTGCAAAAAGTCTACCCAGGAGCCTCCAATTCTATCTTTCTTTTCTTCTTTTATCTTGCCTACCCAACTGTTGCTGCCACTATACTTTTTGTGAGACGATGTCTGATGGCTGATACGGCTCGTTAACTAAAATTTTGGTGTGATTCTTGAACCACCCATAGAGGATTGATCAATTTTGTATCATCCTATATTTAAATTCTTGCTCCCTATATTCCTCTCTCTCTCTCTCTCTCTCTCTCTCTCTCTCTCTCTGTGTCTGTCTATATGTGCCTTTTCAGCACCAAATCTCAAAATTAAAGTTCTTGTAATATGAACCCTTAGATTCATATCCTAAACAGAAATTATACTTGGCATGAACAAAGGTAATATATATATATATATATATATATAGCTAAAAATCAGCCAATTGAGTCTTTATAAAACCTTATATGTGGTTTATCCCTATTCGATCTCATAATAGGTGAGCTTTCATCGTTTATTGGACATTGCTTATATTATGATATTTTAAAAGCAAGTTATATTAGGTTGCTTATCAGATTCTTTTAGTGCGAAGGCATCTCTTTAAAAAGAATAATATATGTGCATGTACATGTATATTTATATGTATGTGTATATATTATCTTATATTATGTTATTTTTTCAAATTTAGATCTTGCATTTATGATTTTATTATTTTTATATTTGTTAACTGTAGGGAGATGTACTCTCTTTTGTTTTTGAAGGTTTATTATTGGTTTCTTTCTTGGTGCCATCCCTTGGTATGTTGGGCTATTTATTATATTATGTGCAAGGATAGATCCCCGAGAGAAACCAGGATACATTGCTTGCACAATCGCTGTGAGTGCACTTTCCTTTAGTTCTCTAACAATAGCTGCAAGTTTTGTTCTATTATATATTTATTTTGGTGGGATTTATATCTCTTTTTTTATTATTTAGGAAGCAATAACAATAACAATAGGAATAAGATAACTTCTTTATTATTAATATTAACTTCTTACATCTTATGTCCCTGTGGTTTTATGTTGTTAGATGCATAGGGTTTAAAATATTCTTATCATAATTGGGAGAGAGGTAATTTAAAGTAAGGTTTTATATAACGTTACATAAATATTCTCATTATTTAATATAAATAAAAACAAATGGAAATATGCTCATTTTCCATTATTAACTACACTAATTTTATAAGGAAATTATCCTTAACAAAAATATAATGATGGAAGCACCTTTGTTTGATCCATACTGATCCAATTTTATATGCATGATACAAGAAAGGATGTCTTTTTTTTTTTTTTAATTGAAGATATATATCCAAAAATCACATGTGAATCCAATTTCATGAAGAAATAAACCTCAAAAAAGAAAAAGTAATAAAAAAAATTCTTGCATGTTGGATGGGAAAGTGAACAAAATATGATGGGAGATTGTGGTGAGAGAATAAATTGATAGATGAATAACATTTTTGGAATCACAAAAAAGGTAAGGGGTAGTATAGGAGTTGCAACAAAATACATTAATGAGCTAAATAACTTTACATCCTCAACTCACTGATCTAGTGGGTTCAAATTCATTGGCTCTTGATGGTTTTGGAAAAAATTATAATACTATACCTCACTTTACCATGTTCTTTCCTAAACACAATAGCATGATTTTTTAACCTTATAGAAACCTTCAAAAGCCATCCAAAAAGCTCCTTCCCAATAGAATGGTAAGTGTTAAACGCACTAGGATAATTTATATTTAATGATACCGCATAAAATCAATGAAAAATAATATTTCCCTTATGTAGGAAAATCATCCTTATAATTTGGAATGAGGATTTGAGATAGAGATTTTTTTTTTTAGATTTTTTTTTCTTTTTTCTTAAAAACATACATTTATTTTAATATTTAATGAAAATGAAAATTTTAATTGGAGAAATGAGCTCCATAACACCTATTGAATTCCATGTTTGTGAACGAAATATATTTTTAATTAATATCTTATACTACATGAGGAAATATTAATGGTATTAATATGTTTAGTACTTAGTGGTCTAATGGAGGAAATGAGAGATTTGATGATTTGATATAAGATATTAATTAAAGAAGACATTTTTTTTTATTGATGAGGAATTGTACTGGTGTTATGGAGCTCATTAATCAATTCAAATTAACATTTAAATTAATTATTAAAATTTAAGGAAAAAAATATTTTTTAAAAAGATTTCCAAAATTAATTCTCATCCCAAATTAAAGGAAAAAAAAGGGCATTCAGGTGCACAAAGCTCCCGCTATATGCACAGGGTTCGAGGAAGGCTTGGACCACTTTGGGTCTATTGTATGCAGCTCTACCTTATTTTTCACAAGATGCTATTTCCTTGACTCGAACCCGTGAACTCTAGGACACAAAGTGACAACTCTACCATTTGCCAAGGCTCCCCTTCATTCTCATCCCAAATTCTGGGGATACTTTTCCTACATAAGCCAAAAAAAAAAAAAAAAAAAAAAAACTCCCCTTCATTCTCATCCCCAAAATTCCTGGGGATACCTTTTTCCCTACATAAAAAAAAAAAAAAAAAAAAAAAAAAGGATTTTATTTTTAGTGTAATCATTCAATACTAACAATTATAGTTCATATGGCTCTTAAATATCTAACAAAGCAAACCATGGGGAACCAAATGTCTAAAAAAGGACCATACACCACTTTGTGTGAAACCATAAGATAGCTTTTGTACTCCTCTATTTATATATATATATTTCTAGTAATTTGTTGAAAGAATATTTCGAATTTCTTTTTATTGTGTGTTATATCTTCAATCTCTACATCACTATATATATACACAAGATTGTTCCAATATAGGAAGAGATCTAAATAGGAATAAACCTAAATTAGGAAAAACAATAAACCTAAACTACTAAACTAGGAAACATATTGATTTTAATTACAAAGGTTTTCAACAATCCCCCCTCAAGTTGGTGCATAGATATTACTCATAGATATTACTCATGCCCAACTTGCAAACTAAAAGATGAAATAACTTGCCATGCAAACCTTTTGTGAAAACATCAGCTAGTTGCTCTTTTGAAGCAGCTATACAGGAGACACTTATAAAACTTTCAACTATCTTCTCTTTTATAAAGTGACGATCAATTTCTATGTGTTTAGTTCGATCACGTTGGAATGGATTGTTCATAATGCTGATAGCTGTTTTACTATCACAAAATAAGGATATATTTGTTGTTTCAACCAACTTTAACTCTTCCATTAATTTGCACAACCATAGAAGTTCACAGATTCCCTGTGCCATAGCTCTACATTTAGCTTCTGCACTCGACCTTGCAACAACAGCCTGCTTCTTGTTTCTCCCTGTGACCAGGTTTCCTCCAACAAAAACACAATAAGCTAAGGTTGATCTCCTGCCATCAAGGGAACCAGCCCAATGCACATCTGTATAGCCTGTTATTGTTAAATGGCCATGTTTAGAAAATAAAACTTCTCTACCTAGAGCTGATTTTAAAAATCTTTGAATTCGATGCACTGCTTTTAAGTGAGACTGCCGAGGGTCATGCATGTACTGACTCACTAAACTTACAACATAGGCAATATTTGATCTAGTATGGGTAAGGTAAATCAATCTCCCGACCAATCTCTAATACTTGCCAATATCAACTAAACTTCCCACTCCAGCTTGAAGCTTATGATTGGCTTCAATAGGTGATTCTGCAGGTTTACATCCTAACATACCAGTTTCTTTAAGGACCAACATACCAGTTTCTTTAGGAGATCAAGGATGTAACTTTCTTTGAAGAAATAAAAATCCCTTTTTCCTGATCTAGCAACTTCATCCCCAAGGAATATCTTCAACAAATATCTCAACTTTCCCAAATCCTTAATCTCAAACTCCCTAGCTAACAAATTTCTCAAGTGAGTCATTTCTTCTTCATTATTTCTAGTCATCATTATATCATCAACATAGACAATAAGCAACGTGATCTTACCCTCATGATGTTTAATGAATAAAGTAAGATCAGCATCGATCTGAATATACCCAAAGGAAAGCATAGCTTTACTAAATCTTTCAAACCATGCTCTTGGTGATTGTTTTAGCCCATATAATGACTTCTTCAGCTTGCAAACTTTTCCTGTGATTTTGTCAATATCAAATCCAGGAGGAATATCCATATACACCTCTTCTTTCAAATCACCATGTAGAAAAGCATTTTTAACATCAAATTGATGTAACTCCCAGTCAACAGTTCAAGATTGGCTGCACAAGATCAACAAAATTCAATTGTATTCATTTTTGGCTACAAGGGTGCAAAAGTTCCCTGGTAAGGTCACTCCATAGGCTGACTGAAACCTCTACTACCAAATCTGGCCTTGTACCTCTCCAATGGACCATCTGCACTTATGTTTACAGCTGGTGAACACCCATTTAATCACTGGCCTTCTTTCCTGATGGAGGAGTTACAAGATCCCCAGTGTCTCGTTGGTTTGCGCAAAGCTCTCATGCTGCTCTCATACCATGTGCGAATAGCTTCCATTATTCGAAGTCCTGTTATGGTGCCTCTTGCCAAATCCTAGCGGGTATAGAGAGACAGAAAGGAATACAGACAAAGAACAAAGGCTGCTATAGGAAGGGACAGAGCATTATATAGAGAATAAATGGGAAGATAGGATGGTTAGTGCATGTTTTTTAACTCCTTTCTGAAAGAGCAATATGGAATATCATAGAGTCATTGTCAGAAGGGCTGGAATCAGATGTAAGGATCAGAATCATTCAGGACATTGAAAGAAGTACTCACCAAGTTCTTGTTCGTCGTATTTTCAGAAGCCCCTGAAAATTGGGAAGACGGTTGATCAGAGGTCTCATGCTCCATGGTTGTATCTGTATTAGTCCGTCATGTGTAGGTTTTCAAATCAGGTCTATCCAATCTTTCTAGAGGTTTGGGTTGTTCTCTCCTACTATCTATGTCTACAGGAAACTTCCTCTGGAAAGGAACGTTATTCATCACCTGTTCCATCTGATATTTCTCCCCCTGAAGAGGTGATTGGGAAGGAAAATAATACTCAAATTCCCGAAAGGTATCCATACTCGCAAAATATTTTCTAGAAAGAGGATGATAACACCTGTATCTTTTTTGAGTAGCAGAGTAACCAACAAACACACACTTCAAGGCTCTAGGATCTAATTTGCTTAGACCATTCTGATGAACAAAACAAACACAACCAAACCCAAAGACTTTAGTGAGGTACAATATAAAGAGTTTTTCCTTGAAGAAACCTCTAATGGAAGGTTTTAAAAATTTAAAGTACGAAGAGGCATACGATTGATAAGGGTAAGCAAGCAGTCAAAATAGCATCCCCCAAATATGGTTTGGGAAGATTCATAGTGAAACATAAGAGGACCTAGCTACTTCAGTTAAATGCCTATTTTTTCCTTTCTGCAACTCCATTTTGAGCACTTAAGTATTTCGACACAACTAGTTTGATTGTATAATACCATTAGAATCTAAATAGGTTTACGAAAACTGCATTCCATGTATTCAGTACCATTATCAGTTCTTAGGATTTAACATGCGCATCAAACTGAGTACCAAATCACTTCTTGGAAATTCTGGAAAACACGAAAAAAAACTTCATTTTTAGTTTTCATCAAATAAACCCAAGTTAATCTAGTACAACAATCAATAAAGGTCACAAGGTTACAAACCATCTATAACCAGAAAGAGAGACAGTTTTAGTAGGACCCCAAACATCAGAATGAATAGTAGCAAAAGGAATCAAATTTTTAATATTAATCGGAGAATAAGAATGTCTGGTGTGTTTGGCAAGTTCACAACCATCACATACTAATGAATTAAAATCACATTTAGCAGACAAAGTGGGAAATAAACGTCCTAAAACAGAAAAAGAGGATGTCCTAATCTCCTATGCCATCGAATAACTTCATCGGAAGGATTTCTAGAAGTTCCTAACAAAGCTTGACTGGTACCCGAATTTGAAAAACGACAAATGTCATCCAACAGATACAGTCCATCGAGATCTAAATAGGAATAAACCTAAATTAGGAAAGACAATAAACCTAAACTAGGAAAGACAATATTGATTTTAATTACAAAGATTTCAACATAATTGAAAAGAAGAGATGGGTATTTTTTATAACTCTATAGATCAAGGAAGTATTCTCTGAAGTAAAGTAAAAATGCAACAAACATCTCTCTCTCAAAACCTAATTATAGTAGTATTCCACATCATGGCCAAGGTCTTCTTCTGCGCAATATCACCACCATGAAATATCTCATTTGACAGTCCCCCACCTATCAAAGAGAAAAATGTAAATGGGGGAGATTGTTGGCAAGTTAGATCATGATGGTTGATGTTGAGGGGTTAGACCAAAACTGACCTTGCTATGGAATTGATATAAATCCTTGTGATTGTAAATTGTTACTAAGATGTTTATGAAAACATTTTTTTTTTATTATGGGTTGAATCTTTCACGATGGTGGTAGGTAGTGGTTTAATGATAATTTGTGAATTTCCCATGTGTTTGGTCGATAGCGAATTGGACCCAAGAAAAAAATGAGGGTTTTGGTTTTAAGGTGTAAAAATATGTTGTTGACAAATGAAAGTTCAAATAAGCTCATTTTGGGAGAGACGGGAAAGGAATTTTTTCAAAAAGAAGTAATCTGAAAAATATATTCTATTTCAATGAACAATTTATTGAATTTAAAAAAATACAACTAATACAAAGATACAACCAATACAAATGTCACAAGGTCCAATTAAAATACATAAATTTAAAAAAGATAATTGTAATAGAAAATGTGTTCCAGGGTTCGTAATTTTTTGTTTTTGGTATAAAATCTATTATTTGCTAGACAAGACTAGATTGTCATACACACATGCACATCCATGAATTACTTCTATTTTTTTTATATCTAGGCTAAATGCATAAATTTTTACCTATAAATTTTATTAATTCAGTCATGTGGAACAAAGCTTATGTGTCATTTGACGAAATAAAAAATAATTTAAATACTAGTTTTTCTCTCTAGTAAATTTCTTGTCTCTCTCTTTCTCTCTGTTTTTCTTTGCAATATCAAGAATCAAAAAGATTTGGATGCTTTGAATTATTTTAGCTTTATTTGACTTTTTATGGATTGACTAAGAAAAAATTATGGAAATCCTAATAGAAGGATTAACATTTTTAATGGCTTAGAAATGTAGGGACTTTTTACTTAGTTTCATCATAAATACTAAATTGTAATTCACCCAAATGATTAAGAGATGTTAAGAATTACTAATTGAGAGTTGAGATTGAAGATAAATCAAGAGAGTTTCCCTCCCTTTTGCAAGGGAAGGAAACCCTTAAAAATCACTGTTAGATCTAGAAATTAATAAACAAAAATCAATAATTTAAGAAATAACTATGTTTTTATAAGACAACTTGAAAATTATATACAATTTAGTTGCTATCTAAAAATACTTTTCAAAAATACTTCTCATGGTAGCGTATAGGAATCCCTACTAAACCATAAAAGAGACTGCCCTTAGGGGATTGAGAGTTCCCTTGGATATTTTGAGGTACTTTTTGTATTTTGCTTATTATTTTATAACATGTGATTGTCATTGTTTTCAAGGGATTATGAAAAAAGCATGGTGGTTCTTGTGTTGCATATAGAAGAAAGTATGACTGGAGAACAGGAAAAGGAAATTTAAGTTAAAATATGATTATACACGATTATTCTATTTACAAGTTGTACCTAACAGCTATATAAGTTTGTGAACTATCAGAGTAAAGTGTGAGCTAGAACTTTCCACTTTCAGGAATTAGATTTGTTTGGTTGTGCTCTCTATTTTACCATTTGCTACAAAATAGTGCTTGCATCAACTAAGCAAACTGGAATGCTAGAATATTTCACAAGCAACCAGTGCCTATCACATAAAACATAATCGACCTTGGGATAACTCCCACCTCAAATGAACTAGTTATTTGTGCACATACCTTTATCAGCAAGGGGTATAAAATTTCTGCCATTTTTTGGGGCTTAAGTATAGATTATATTAGGATATGACTTAATAAGCTTCTTGGGAATAAAATCAATTGGACATTATTCTTCTAGATAATGTCGGAGCTGCCCAGGAGGAATCCATTTAGGCTTTTGAGGATTGCTATAGACCACAATTCATTTAGGACTTGGATTTAAGGAACCTGGGGTGTTCATTAAGTTAATCTAGAGACCAAGGAATGCCAACTATCAACTGCCTAGATAACCGTCTATAAAGAATCTTTCTTCTTGTGATTCTAACTTTTAAGCTTGTGTTATCTCTCTCTCTCTCTCTCTCTCTCTTTTCTTTTTTTTTTTTTTTTTTTTTTTTTTTTTTTTATTTTTTTTTTTTTTTTTTTTTTTTTTCAAATCATGTACTTGTGATGAATCGTCAAAAAAGCATGAATGCACCTTTTTTTTTTTTTTTTTTTTTTTTTTTTTCAAATCATGTACTTGTGATGAATCGTCAAAAAGCATGAATGCACCTAGATGAATAAGTATAGAGTACTGCTTGGCTTAGTGACAAAAGAATTTGTTTGTCATACGTTGTGCAACACCTTGGTTTAATTCCAATTCCAAAATACCTTGAGATTTGCCTGGCCCCCTATTATTTCAAACTTAATTTCAGTCCCTGAGGTTTCTTAACGAATTGAGACGATAAAAAAAATTATAATATTCCTCACAGTTTAGTCCTTACTGTTTTCAAATAGATAACTCTTTAGTCCTTAAAGTTTCAAAATTACTAACACCTTAAAACCTAGATATTAGCTTTGGAAAACATTTCATCCTTCAAAATTCCTTAAAATCTTGTAATATTTATTCATTAAAGTGTGACAAAAATTGCTAATCTTGTATTTTAGTTATGATTTCTGGGAACCCCTACCCAAAGGATCTCTAACCAAATTACAGTTATTTAATTCCCATGTCTACTCAAAAGTTGTTGTGACTTTTATTACTTGTGTTTTGGGTTACGAGAGAGATATATTTTGTGCGATCCCACCTAAACTGTAAGAATGCTGCTCTTCACGCAGGCTGTTCTTGCTACTGTTGCAATTATTCTTGGTGTAACAAAGGGAGCTGATGATTGGTAATCTTTCCAAGCATTGCAAAATGGATGTGCAAAGTTATTCTACAAACTGGAAGACCAAAAACAGAAAAAAACTTGGGTATACAATCATATTTGAATTCTTGTGTTATTGGGAGTAATCTGAACAATGAGAACTGCAAACTCGTTATGGATTTCCATTATGTTATAATGTAACTATTATTCTACTTAGCTCAGACTATTTATTTGTGAAAATCTGCAGACATTTGTGTAAATGTAAGAAAAGCCGATGGATTCTCGTAGAGTTGCGTGTACTTAGTTAAGCTGTTCGGTTAGCATGTAGCTATAACGATGTTCAAACTGAACTGAACCAACCAGTTGCAAATTGAATCAATCGAGTTTTTATATAGGAAAAATTGAATCCAACCTATAGAATTGAATTGGTTTGGTTTCAGTTGTCTTTTTGAGTTGAATCAGTTTGGTGTTTAGGATTTTTAAAAAATTGAACTGGTTTGAAAAAAAAGAAAGGTAGGTTTTTTCTTACTAATTTGAAATCAAACTGATTTTTTTAAAAAATGAACTAAATTGAATTGATCAAGTCAGTTTGTTTTGATTCAGTCAGTTTTACCAACTATTGTTTAATCCTAGCTATAAACAGATTTTGAAGATAATTCTGTCTACTGCTGCGGAAAACAGCATATGTTCTTGGAGGAGACTTTCTGATTTAAGTGAACAGGATGATGTTTTGCTCAATTTGGCTTGACCTTTATTCAGATAACAAAAGATTAATTTTCTTATTTTTAATAACAAAAAATAGATTTTTATATTTATACTTTGGCTTCGTGAGCTCATTTATTCCCAAATTTGTGTAAATTAATAAATCTATTTAATATTAAGTATAGTTTAAACCTTATACACGTCAATTTTGAAGCGATTTTATATTATTAGGCGTCTATTATGTTCCTCTTACTATTTTTTATTTTTATTTAAAGCAAATTTTAATATGGTAATTAGTAGCCAACTATATGAGTTTGCATTTTATGTTCTAGAAAGTTAAAATTATTAATTATGAGGTACTCTTTTTATTTATTTTGATTGAGATAAAGATCATGTTTGTTCTCTAATTTGTAAAAAATTAGGTGATATGTTTATTTAAAAATTAGACTGGGGGAGGAAGGATTTACGTCCATGACTGGAAGGATTTACGTCCATGACTTGGTCATGGCACCTCACCTTAACCATTTGGGTAAGGGTAATTGGAGTTCTTAATTGTTACTATGATTCCATGAAGTTCCAATACTGCCAAGGCAAATTATTTACTAGTCTTCGTTTATAATAATTAATGTTTAATTATTTGTCCAACTGATAGTGTTGTAATTTAATATGTTAGTATATACTCTTTCCATTCCAAATACTTATCACACTTGATAAAGTATAATGTTCCCAAATACTTGTCACATTTACAGAGTTCATAAAATGATGAGATGAAAGAGAAAGCTAGACAATCCATGAAAAAATCTCATATCATTTACTGTATCGATTGTTTATATACAAAAGAGGAAGATTACCTACTGCCTATGTATTTAACAACCATACAGCGATCTACTGTCTATGTATTAACAACCATAAAACTGTGTTGACTTTTCTAATATAAGAATAATTAAATTATAAAGCTAATATTACACCCCCCCCCCAAAAAAAAAAAAAAAAAAAAAAAAAAAAAAAAAAAAAAAAAAAAAAAAAAAAAAGCTGGTGAGTGTATATTAGTGTTAATTGAGCATCTCCAGCTTTGAAAAAAAAAAAAAAAAAAAAAAAAAAAAAAAAAAGCTGGTGAGTGTATATTAGTGTATATTGAGCACTCCAGCTTGGAAAGATGTTAGTTTGAATAAAAGCCTTTGTATAAATGTCTACCAACTGATCAGCAAAAGAAATGGGAAGCAAATGTGTAAGTCTTTGTTGAAGTTTCTCACCAACCACATGGCAATCTAATTCTATATGTTTAGTCCTCTCATGGAAAGTTTGATTAGCTGCTATATGTCTTGCAGATTGACTATCACAGTACAAAAGTGCCGCTGAGAATGTCAAATTTGAAAGTTAGATAACAGAAAGTGAAGCTAAAGCTATATTCAGTTTCGGAAGAGGATTTGGATATTGTAGTTTGCTTCTTAGCTTTCCAACTTATTAAAGAATTGTTAAGGTAAATGTCAAAACTAGCACCGATTTTCTAGTATCAATGCAAGAAGCCCAATCAAAGTCGCTATAAGCCTTGAGTTGAAGGTCAGAATTATGAGGATGAAATAAAACTTGACATGGAGTACTTTTAATGTATGTAAGTACTTTGTGCAAAGCAGCAAGATAGGCAGTAGTGGGCGATTGAATAAACTAAGTTGATGCATTGAAAAGGCAATATCTGGTCTTGTGGTGGTCAAATATATTGATTGACCCACTAACTTTTTGTATTTAGATGGATCAGAAAGTAAAACACCAGTAGGAGATAATCTGAGATGTGAATTCATCGGTGTGGAGGCTGGTTTAGAAGAAGAGTAACCAGAATCTTTCAGAATCTCTAATGCATATTTCCTTTGACAAATAAACAGACCATATTTTTTCCTAGCAATTTTCAAACTCAAAAATATCTGAAGGATCCTAAGTCTTTAATTTTGAACAAATCATCCAGTATATGTTTAACAGATGTAAATATCAGTTAAAGAATTTCTTGCCAAGACAATATCATCCACATAGACTAAAATTGAAGTAAAAGAGGCTGCAGAAGACTTGGTAATAAAGAATGATAAGAATATGTGAGTATAACTTTGAGAGTAAAACCTGAGATACTTTGGAGAACCACTGCCTACTAGCTTGCTTTAAGTCATATAAAGATTTTTGCAATTTGCAGACGTCATTTGGAGGAACATTAGGTAGATCGGGAGGAGGGACCATGTACACTTTGATAGGTCCCAGTTAGAGTTGCAAGAGTTGGGTTATCCTACTTAGGGTGAGAATAAAACCATAGTAATTGGGAATAGGAATTAGCCTCTTTTCTTGAATTCAAACAGTGCTTATATACAAATAGGACTCAATAACTACCCCTGATTCCTAGTGTATGATCACAGATAATAACAACCCACTATAACCAGTTATCCACTAAAATGAAAACACAAATTCAGGAAAGTAACAAAACAGAATGAGATAAAATAGCCACATAGTAAGCTTGGACACATGTCCATCAATTGGATTGAAACTTTGGATTCTTTTTGGGCACACGAGGGGAACGACGTGGCGTATCAACACCCTTCCCTTTGACAGTGACCTTGTCCTCAAGGTCAAAGGATGGAAACTACTCTTTGATTATTTGCGAATCTTCCCAGGTTGCCTTATTTGCGGATAACTTTTTCCGTTTGATTAGTACTTGTTCAACAAATTTAGACCCTCGTTTGATCCAACGAGTTTCTAATAAAGTGTCTGGTTCCATAATCAAGACTCCATCATCAGTCATAGGTGGCAGATCTGAACTTGCTTGAATCCCTTCACCCCTCCCCCTCTTCTTGAGCAAAGAAACACGGAAGACGGGGTGGATACGTGAACCCAATGGAAGATCTAACTTGTAAGCAACATTACCAATTCTTTCAACAATAGGGTAAGGACCATAAAATCGGCTAGAAAGCTTGTGACAAGCCTGACAAAACACAGATTGTTGATGATATGGGTGCAGCTTCAAGAATACCAAATCACCAACTTGGAATTCATTATTCCATCGCTTAGAATCCACCTGCTGTTTCATCCGATTGTTTGCGGCGTGAAGTTTGAGCTGCTTAAATAACTCATCACGTGCCCTCAAACTGTGGTCCACTTCATTGACAGGGCAATCGCCAACAAAGTATTTCAGAATGGATGGAGGGGGTCTGCCATAAAGAGCCTAAAAAGGAGACATACCAGTAGAAGCATGATATGTAGTATTGTACCAATATTCCGCCCAAGGAATGAATGAGAGCCATTTGCATGGCTGCTGGTACATAAAACTTTGCAAGTACTGTTCAATGCACCTGTTAACCACCTCCTTTTGATCATCGGTCTGTGGATGATAGGTGAAACTCATCTTAAGTTGTGTGCCTGACATCTTGAAGAATTCCTGCTAGTATCGGCTAAGAAAGATTGGATCTCTATCTAAAACAATAGATCTGGGCATGCCATGAAGCTTCACCACATTTTCAATAAATATCTCCACTACTGTCTTTGTTGTATATGGATGAGCTAATGCCACAAAATGACGAAATTTACTCAACCTATCCATGACTACCCGGATGGAGTTCTTCCCAATGGAAGTTGGTAGCCCCTCAATAAAATCCATTGAAACATCATCCTAGAGTTAGTAAGGAATAGGTAATGGTTAAAGAAGACCTGCACATGAAAGATTTTGTACTTTAACGCGTTGGCATACCTCATAAGAAGCCATAAAATCTTTGATGAATATGTGCATAGAATGCCAATAGAACTGTTGAGCCAAACGTTTGTAAGTACGCAGAACCCCTGAATGACCTCCTAATGGTGAACCATGGAATTCATGGAGGAGTTGATCCACTATTGGAGAATTGGAGGGCTCCACAACTCTGTTTTTGTAGAAAATTAATCCATTATGCCAACTATAAGGCTGCCCTAGTTTGTCGGTGGTGAGTTTCCCTATTTTTTGGATGTAAGAGTCACCTTGAGCTGCATATTTGATCTCTTCCCATACTGAAGCTTGTGGAATAGAAATGGCAACAAGGGATGGGCTACCAGAGAGTATGGACAATGCATTGGCAGTGCTATTTTCCTTGCCTAGTTTATAATAGATTTCATAGTCATAACCAAGCAATTTGGCTACCCAGTTCCGCTGTTCTAGACTGACGATGCGCTGCTATAACTGATGCTTTAGACTTTTCTGGTCCGTATGAATATAGAATTTCTACCCAAGCAAGTACGGTCTCTAGGTTTTGATAGCTTAGAGGATGGCCAACATTTCCTTTGCATAGACGAACCATGATCTTTTAGTGATACCCAACGCCCGACTCATAAAAGCAATTGGTCTGCGCTCCTATGTTAGAACTGCTCCTATGCCGTCACCGAAAGCATCTGTGTGACATCCTACCGAGTCGAGTCTTAGCATAGAGTTGAGTAGTCGAGTTGAGTCGAGTTGAACCAAACCCGGTTGGGGTAGAATGGGTTACGAGTCGAGTCTTAGCATTTAGAGTGAGCAGTCGGAGTGAGTCGAGTTGGAACCAAACCCGGTTTGGGGTAGAATGGTTATTAAGTGGAGTTACTTGATTGAGAGAAAGATTAAAGGCATTATGGTGAGGATTGATTTGCATTAAAAGAATCAAGGCTTGCGGTTATTAAGTTGTAGCTGTTTACAATTGTACCATTTAGAAGATTACATAAA